AGTATTGCTTGCATGGAGGACGTAAAGAAGCATTACCTTACCTGGAAAGAGATCCACAATCTGACTCATCTATAGTTTGGGTTTAAGTCAGAATCAAATACAACATTTAGCCTGCAATACACAATGCATGTATCAGATAATCTTTCGCACACATTGCCTCATGGGTTAATAAGCTATGAACATATCTATGCATTTTGATTCATCGTTGAACTAATGAATTGGAGGAGTATTAGTATGATATGCAAGTTAAATTCCTTCTGGACAATTTAATGTGAAAGAGTCACTTCGCTACCCATTACTGTCATTCTATGATGCATAGCTGATGGGTTAGCTGACTGGTGATAAGGCTTTACTGCAATTTTTTTGGATGTGTCATGTTTATGAACCTGCTGGAATCGTCAATAGCATCTCTAGCACAAATCCTCATGGCAGCTGTAGATGCTATCATGACTCCATTCTGTTAAAAGAAAGAATTATGGAGGTTTACCATATTTGTCATGTTAATCCTCCTAGAAGATTCTTACGTATTTCGCCAGTTTGCGGTCTATATCATAGAACACTCTCTTCCTTGATAAGCAAACTGCAATTGATTTCGAGACACCAGTATTATCTGTTTACTATACTAGATCAGTTTCAGATGCAACTTAGCAACTGCAAATTAGCAGATGCAACTTGTGCTCTGCCTCCACCCCAATGGCGTACTGCCATCCCTTGAACTTGATAGCCAAATAGGTTTGCACTTTCTAGATGGTGCATAGTGTTAATAATCTTATCTTTTGAGAGCTTGATTTGATTGTTGATTTAGTTATAGTGGGTAGCCATCATGCTTTTGCTTGTCTTGACATTTCTGGAAGCTGCCAAGCATTTCTAAGAATCATAATCTTCTTACTGCAGGAAAGGCCGTCAACCAAGGTCCATGCTGCTCCTGGCGGTGGTTCTTCACTTGGTTACCTGTTCGGTGATGGCAAGAAATGATTTGTACTTGAGACCTGTGGCCTGTGGCCTGTTGCTTGTGCAATTACTTTGAAAAACAAAAATTCCTTATTATTTGATGTTTGGATCGTGAAATTTATGTGGAACTGTCTAATTTTCAGTCACTTCCGTGATTGAATTTGACAATGGGAGTTATAAAAGCAATGCTGGAAACGAAGGCATTTGCTGATAATCTCTCTTGTTTCTATTGGAACAGGCATGTTAATGGAAGTAATATGCTAGTGATACATGTTCTTTTTTTGAGTGATATGTTACTGCTACGTGTTCATGAAGAGTAATCTGTTAGCAGTACATCAGCTATGTTCTGTGACTATGACGCTATGTACATCAGCTGTGTTTTGTGACAATGACGCTGTGTATTGGGAGTGCAGGTCAGAATACAGAGCGATAGTCAGAACGAAGCGCTCTCCAAACAGAGGGTTGCTTTTACTTTTCGGGCTTTAGGCCTTCACAATCGGGAAAGGCTGTAAATTTGCTGCTCTAGTTTTTGTTTTGTGCTCTCCGAAGGCTGTAAATTTGCAGCTTTCGATTTTGTTTTGTGCTTCTGTTTTAAACCTTTACGATCGACAAGGGATTGTATTTCTATTTCTCATTTTGCTTCACAACTGCCTATTAATTGCGTTAAGAGGGGAGGTAGCCACTCTTGTTTTTGTTTTTTATTTTATGCGGTCAAAATGCATGGCTCATTGGTTTGGATTGTCTAAGATTGTGCTAATTCCAACTTATCGAACGCTAAACCCTGAATCTGCATTGCACTTCTAGAATGGTAGATTTTGACGATTGTACATAGGCTCTTTAGCAAGAATTATTTGTCAATTGAAGAGGTCTCTTATCACTCAAAGCAAAAATTTATACAATCCATTTCCTCTAAACTGAAGAAGTGCAGAAATCCCAGTCACCAGCTTTGTTATCAATCGAGCTTCAAAAATTGATTGCCAAATTTGTATCAAATCAGCCCCAGATCAAAATCTACCGCATAGTCTGAAGTAAAATAAACTAAATTTCGGCACTATTTTCGAGGAGATTTGAATGCCGTTCCTCCTTCAACCAAAACAGGTTTGTTAACCAGAATAATGTAGAACGGTTAAACCCCAATTTAATCCACAAGCATGTCATGAACACATCTAATCATTATCTTCTATCTATCAAAGTCCCACCCTGCTGAATGTTGAGCTTCAGAGATCTCAGAAAGAGCACAAACAAATGCCAACTGAAAGTCATAAAACACCTTCAGCACATATCACACACCTAATCAACTTAAAAATGGGCCTAGCAGACCAGAAACAATAAAAAAGCCAAAGAAAGCTTAGGATATGCTTTGAACAAAGAAACTCAAAGCATTTGTAGAAACTATAAACCACAAATGAAGGAAACAACAGAACATCTACCAAAAAGGTTCTTCAATCAAATTAAAGTTTCAATTTTGTGACTTCGAATCAAATGAAATTCGTTCGAGACCTACAACGAAACAGTCATAAGGATAATAACAACACCAAAATTGATTAAAACACCACCATCTTTAATTAAGCTACTAATTAAACCAAAAGTTCTTTTTTTTTTTTGAGGGGGAGGGTAAAAAGCTCGAGACAAATAAAGGTAACATGATGGTGACGGCGGACGCAGAAAATTTAGAAGCCGAGCTTGGTGCGGCGCCAGTGGCGGCGCTTGGCATTGTAGCGGATGGTGTTGTCAGTGCGCATGCGGATCCAATAAGGGATGGGCCTGTTCTGCCTCTGCTTCTTCGCCAGCTTCTTCTTTATCATGAAGGTCTTGTGGGACGGCTGATTGAACGTCCAAGAGAAACAAAACGCATTTCAGCAGTCACGATTCACGACTAAGAAGGAATACGGAAAGCAATAGAAGAGAAAGATGAAGTCAGAGGAGCTTACCATCTTCGGTTGCTGTAAGTTGAAGGAGAGCACCGGCGGGAGGATGGGTTGGCTTCGGAATAGCTGCAGAGAGGCTGAAAGCGAGGCGGCCGAGAAACATAAACCCTAAATCAAATGAACATATATAGTGGGACTATATGTACTCTGGAGTTATGGGGCGGACTACTTACGACCTTTCTGAGGTCTTGACCGCCTGGCCCAGTTACCCAAACTCTTTCAGATGAGCCCAAACAGGGTGTCTCCCACTAGTACTCGTAGAATTGAGTCAAAAAAGAAAAACAAATACTCATACAAAAGTAAACCTCAAGAAAGTAGAGACAGAAATTATTAGCAAATATGGGAGGAAAACTTTTGTAATGAACTAAAAAGAATTTACTACTATTTATCTATGCTAGATCTTTATTTTACCCAAGAAAAAATTGCCCGTGTTTTTTTTTCACCGTGGAAAGCCTGTAATGCTAAACATAATATAAGAGCTTTCCAGAATATTTACCTAATTTAAAAAAAGCAAAAAAGAGAGTTTATGAAGCTAAAAATGAAGGGTGTGAATCATTACTTAATAAAAAATCCAAATAGAACATAACATTTAAAATCAATTAGTAACGTAAATAAATGTGTGTACCCGGAATATAAGGTTGTGTTTGGATTGCATTTTCGGTCATTTTTCATGGAAAAATTACTGTAGTGATTTGATATATGTGAGGGAAAAATGTGATAGGGAAATGTGATCATGAAAAACGACAATATTTTCCGACGGAAACAAGCAATCCAAACAAGGCAAGCATATAAAGAACATGTTTCTTTGGACCTCTACCTTTGGGCGTGTGCGTGCTTTTTTTTCCCCCTATTTGTTATTGAGTAAATCTTATATACATTAACGGTATATACACTATCATGGTTAGATATATGACATATATGCAAAATTTGAGTTTCAAATTTAAATTCGAATTATATGTCATGCATTTAATGATGAAAATGTATACATTGCCGTGTATAGGAAATTAATCATTTGTTTAATAGTAAACATTTACCTTGTCATGTTAGCAATTCTTTTCTAGAGTGAAGGCATTTGACCTCTTGAGTAGGGATGACAAATCCCCCCCCTGCCCCGTCCGCCGCTCCCCTAACCCGTCCCATTTCTTCCACAGGGTTATATAATTTTATTATAGTTAAATTTTTGCAAATAATCAAGTACTAAAATATCAACACATCACCAAATTATTATTCATTGTAATTTCACAATTGAAACTTATAAAAACAATCAAACAAAAGTTATTTGAATACAATCCAACATGATGAAATAAATACAACTAAAGTAGTCAAGTTTTCACTTTTGGCACAAATACAATCACTAATTCATTATTGTGCTTGTGTTTTTTTTAAGAAAAAAATTTTATTGTATTAAGTGTAATTAGGGATTTAGTATAAATGTATTAGCAAATTTAGTATAACAATTAATAATTTGTATTAGTACACATATATAATTATTAGTATAATTGATGATATCAGTTATATTATATATACTAATATACATTATATAATACATATAATTAATAATATCATTATCATAAGTTTGTAACTAATTAATTTATATATTATATATATATAATTATATACCTATATATTTTATATATTTATTTTTTTAAAACGGGTGGCGGGGCGGGGGTACACTCCCCCGATCCCCTGCCCGTTTCTAAGCAGGGTTCCTCCCGCCCCCTCCCTATTAGTCCCCTGTGGGGTGGGTGTCCGCAGTCACCATCACCCATTGCCATCCTTACTTTTGAGCGATCCGGTATTTTGAGTATTTACACCTATGATTCTTAGCAATTGCACTCGCCTTTTTTGAGTTTTAAAAAAATAGCACTAATCTTCCATGTTACGGAGGTCAATGCTTTTTTTGAAACTTTAGACGAGGTGAATGCAATTATTAGAAACCTCAGGAGAGATTTATGCAATTGTCCCTTCTTTGAATGCCCGCAACGGAGCGCATGGGAGATAAAATTTATAAAAAAAAAAAAACTTGAAAATCAGGAAAGGTTCAAAGAGGTTTCTAATTTAATATAACATGAACCTGAAAGGGGGAGGAAATAAAAAGATACTCTTTACTAATTTAAAAAAAAGGAAGAAACGAATAAAAATTCCCTCGGGTACTTGAACTACCCGCAAATTAGGGTTTTATCTTTCTCTGGGTTTCCTCCCTTGCAGAGCCCTTCCCGGCCCTATCCGGCTATCCCCCAGTGCTATTTGCTGCGGAAGCTCAGCAAGTTTTTCCCATAAAAAATTAAAAAAGGAAGTTAGATAAAAGGAAAAATGACAACTGTGGTTCCTACTTCGGAGGAAGATCCTGCGCTCTCCGTCGTCCGATTCACCGCCGAGCTGTCCTGGGCTGATGCGGGTCTCGAGGTTTTCCCCTTCTTCACCACTTCTCTGTAACATCGTCTTATAGCTCTTGTCTGAGATTGCTCCTCAACAAACACACTCATATTATTGAGATTATTGATGCATATATGTACAACCAATAAAAAAAATATAGATATGTATGTTTTGTAATTTGTTAGACGTAGGAACGAGTAGAATTTGAATTTTGTACTTCTTTTTTAAAATTTTGTTCGTATTATGGATGCGTGTGCCAATATTAGGTATCGGAGGCACAGGTAAATAGCTTGTGCATGGAGGCGCAGGAGTGCATGATTGAAGGTAGATGGCTGGATTTGGCTTCTCTCATGCTTACGTCTGCTGATTTGATCTTTTCCAAAGCTTCCGAGAAAGGTAATTTCTCTTGAGAAATTAAATATCTAATTATAGCATGAATTTGCGAAACGTAAATCATCACATTGATTAGTATTCTCCTTTTTTCTTTCTTTTTTTTGGTGGGTGGAGGTTTCATTAGTAGTAAAATTGAATAGGGAACTAGGGAACTAGGGATTCAATATATAGATTTCTCAAAGGATTGCAACCTCCTGTTAGTTATCAAAATTTTCTCATTGCCGAGTATAGAACAGGAGGAACCAAATTGTTTTACTAGGTGAGATGACATTCCTGTAGGGCTTTCGACGCATTAAGCGAAGACACCTTTGTCTCTTGGGGAATGGAATTAATGCTTTTCATAAACAATTTTTTCCTCCTCCATTTTCTCTCTGCAAATGTTCATATTGTTGTACATGGCATAAAATCTGCTATCCAGTGGCTACTTTTACCCCTTCTACTGTATTTAAGTCTTGCTTTGTTTTTTGGTTACATTTTCTTCTCGTGTGTTTTTCTTGGTGGTTCTTGTGCTTTCTATTTGTCAATTGTACGAGTGACCTAATACTTGTTGGTTTTTTCATCAGATCTTGAGTGTGTTTTCACTGTGATTTGCAACCTTGTTAAGAAGGCTGAAAATTTTGATCAAGTACACACGATGGCAGATATCATATCCTCAAAAGTCACCCAACAGCCCAATGTTAAACCTGCATTGCGAGTAAAAATGTAATACACACCATTGATGATTATTTATCAGCTTAGTAAGCCTGGATGCTTTCTTGCACTTAGTCTTTTCTCTTTGTTGAAACATAACAGTTTGTTCAACCTCTACAATCTGCTGGAGAACCCAGCTAGCTGCTTCTTTGTGTACATGAAAGCTCTTAGCGTGGCAGTCAGTGGAAAAGTCACTGAACATGTAATACCATCATTCAAGAATATAGATAGCTTCTTGAGGGAATGGAATCTTGGGGTGAAGGATCAGAGAGAGCTCTTCCTCACCATCTCTAATGCATTGAAAGAAAATAAGAGGTAGGAAATGTTTCAGGTTGTCAATTAATCTTTTGTACTCATTGTACTTGCTATGACGTCTCTTGCCCAAAGTATGTTGTCTCATTTCATCTTATTTGTCTATTTGTGGGGTCCCAGCTCTGCAAAGGATTCTTTCAAGTTTCTCACTAGATATCTCGCAACCTTTTCTGATGAAGATGCATATGCTCTGAGTGAAGCAAAGGAAGAAGCAGTCCGTGCTATAGTTGATTTTGTGAAGGCACCTGACATGTTTCAGGTTTCACTTGTCTGTCTCTTTGCATTGCATATAAACTGGTTGTGAGGAGCTCCAAGGCTTGGTTGAATCTGACTTTATGGTGCATGATTATTCATCTCCAAATGTTACATTAAATTTTTTCTTTAATGTAATTTTGAGCTGCAGTGTTACATATATGCTTTTATACTTAATTATCAATTTGGTACGTCGGAACTTATTTGTGTGATGTGTCAGCGTTATTGAGTCATTTGTATCTTGGAATGGGAAACCTACAACTCATCAATCAAGTTAGATTTTGTTCTTGTGGTCTTGGAGTACAGTAGTTGTATTTCTACTTCCATAGTTATGTGAATAGTTGATAAACTGGACGAACTTGGCAGATGCTATGTCTTCTTGGAATACAGCTATATGTCAATCTTGTAGAGGGTGAAAAGCTGTATGCCTTTTACGAAACCAAGGACCTAATTTAGTTTGTGTGCAACTTGTACTGGTGCATCTGGAAGTTACTCTTGCTATTATGTTTTGGATAAGCTATTTCATTCTTCCTGTTCGGATAATGATTCTTTTATGCTTTTTCTTGCTAGTGTGACCTGCTAGATATGCCTGCTGTGGCACAGTTGGAGAAGGATGCTAAACATGCATTGGTATATCAGCTTCTGAAGATCTTCTTGACTCAGAGGCTGGATGCTTACTTGGATTTTAGTACTGCAAATTCTACTTTGCTGAAAAGCTACGGTATTATCTTATACGTGTGCAGTTGTGGTCCATTTGATGTACCAGCGTCATGCTTTTTTTAGTTTAACTCTTGCCTATAATTGCTTGTTTGGATTATACAGGACTTGTTCATGAAGATTGTATAGCTAAAATGAGGTTGTTGTCATTGGTTGATCTTGCCTCCAATGAATCTGGCCAAGTTCCTTATTCTTTGATCAGGGACACACTGAAGGTGATTTTTCATTTTCCTTTTCTGAAGTCTAATGATTCTGCAACATTTTAATATTTATTGTGTTAGATGTTGACATTTTCACAGATTGAAGGGGATGAGGTTGAATCATGGGTTGTTAAAGCAATCACAGCAAAGTTAATCGACTGTAAGATAGATCAAATGAATGAAATAGTAATTGTGAGGTACAGAATTTGCAGTTTTCTTTTCCTCTACTCAGATTAACCAGTGGTGAGATGTGATGTTGGCACTTACAGCAGTTACTTTGTGTTATTATGTGAGTAGACGTGGTACAGAGCGTGTTTTTGGGCCACACCAGTGGGAAATACTCAGAGCAAAGCTTGTGAATTGGAGGGTAAGTTCTCTAGCTTCAGTCATATAAACTCCTTTTGGGCACTGCACTCTGAAAATCTGAAATTTATAACCACCAAAGTTGTTAATTTTGCCTTTAGCGGTGTCACCTTTTTTGTGTATGGTGGTATGCCTGTAATAACCTTCTCTTGATGTTAAAGCTGACGGTCATGTTTGTACTGCTTCACCACTGTTACCGGGTTTTCCTTAACTATAAAGTGTTTTTTGGGATCATTTATTTCTGCTGAATTTTTTGCAGACCAATATTGCAAACGTCATTACCTCCATTCAGGCTAACAAGATATCAGAAGACAGCACACAAGAAGGATTGATGATTCGCTGAAATTTGTTCGTTGATCAGCCATTGGTCCATGGAAATCGTTGGGTACCAGACAGAAATGGGCTTCCATGTGGAAAAATCGCAATCTCTGTTGTTACTTTTGATGTCAGATAACATTTTGTATCTTTATAGCCTCGGTTTAGGTTAAATTTAAAGACAGCAAAAAGAAAGGTTGAAAATCTGTGTTGCATGTCACAAAATTTTGGAGTCATTTAAGCTGTATGGAAACAATTTTGACTCGTGACCATGAGTTGCTTAGTTTGATTCAATCGACTTCTGCAGTGTATGTTATTTTGTAATTGGGGCCGTTGGAACTCTTCTCATCCTCCTAAATTTCAGCATATTGAGGGAGCTGCAAAAGCAATCTCATTCATTTGTTTTATTACCAATGTCTTTGCGTGTCACTTGCGTTGCTATTTAATTAAACAAGTGCAAGATGAAAGTTCTAAAAAGCTACAGAGGAAAAACTCTAGTTTAAGTGCAAGAGCAAAGTTCTAAAAGCTACGACAAAAGAGCACCTGTTCATACTTATGAGGTATTTATGGCAGATTTTGAGGAATTTCCAGAAGAGATGTACCATGTTTTGAAAGAGAGTTGATGCTGGGCGGTGGAAAACTGTTGAGTACTGATAATTTATTTCTACAGAATCGAACACGTTGGCAGACATTCGCACCATTTTGCATCCAACTCTTGTTATTATGAAAGGCCTTGTGTTTTCTTTTGTAATTGGTAGATGCGCATGGCCAGTTTTTCATACATCATTTCTTCATCGAAACTGGAAATTGGTTCACTCACACCAACAAAATCTCATTTTGTTCCGAAAGGTTACACGGGGCAATCAGTGTAAGTAATTGTTTCTTTCATAATACACTAAATATGCAACCTTTTCCTGGTTACAAACGGTAATATGAACTGGTTGCTGGGAACATAAGATATGCAAGTTCTGTCCACTTTTGCTTCCAGTAGTTTGTTGTTGAAGGATCCTACTATTGCACTGTCGGAAATTCCAAAGGAACCACAGATGATCTTAGCTCAGTTCACTTTTTGGTGAACTGCTCCAGTGCACTTCATTCCAAAGTTACAAGATCAGTGTCGCTTTTGGGTGCCTGTAATTGCCTCCTCACTAATGCAGTGTAAATTCCATCCCTGTTCAGCAGCTCTTCATGGGTGCCACTTTCAGCTATCTGGCCATCAGATATGACTGCAACTGTGTCAGCGCTTTTGACAGTAGAAAGCCTGTGTGCTATGACCAGAACAGTCCTGCCTCTCATTAGAGAATCCATGGCATCCTGTACATAAATTACAAGTCAGCGGAATATGCTGGAACTGGTTTGGAGACATGAAAAAGATGCAAAATGATCCTCACAGTAACATTTACTTATGGTATGAGAAAAATAATGCAGAACTACTAGCCACTGAACACAAAACACTGATTATAAATGGAGAAGGTACTGAAAATTTTATTAAGACTTTAACATCAACTCACGAATGACAATAAAATAGCATTGCCCAATTTGGAACACGAATTTTAGGAGCATATTAATCATAGAGTTTTCATACAAAAAGGAATTACGACAGGATAATTAATCTCACCTGTACAAGGTACTCGCTCTCAGCATCTAGAGCACTTGTTGCTTCATCCAATAGCAAAACTCTTGGGTTCATCAAGAGAGCTCTTGCTATCGCAATTCTTTGCTTCTGGCCTCCTGATAACCTCAATCCACGTTCTCCAACAACAGTTTGATATTTATCAGGAAACGATGCAACAAAATCATGTGCATTAGCCATTTTCTGCAGTATTTAATCCCATTAGTATTAGTCAGTGACTCAAATGCCCAGGCAAAGAAATCACAACATAAAACAAAAGCATGAAATAGAAACACGGAGGTACTTACAGCAGCATTTTCTATGTCTGTGCTGCTTGCTTTGCCATCAAAACCATATGCAATGTTCTCTTCTATGGAACAATTAAAAAGAACAGGTTCCTGGCTCACTATACTGATCTTTAAGTAGACATGCAGACAAGAAGCACAAAACTTCAGTGTATTGGGGGACACAATGTTATTGTGTTATAAATTGCTCAAAAAACAACCTTAAAGTGTTTCTGAAACTAACTTCAGGGATAGCAGGACTAGAATACCTTCCTGTGTAAATACTCGTGTGATATTTCAACCAAGGAAACTCCATTAAGCAAAATCTTCCCCTTTATTGGGTCATAAAATCTCTCAATCAAGTTAGCTATAGTTGTCTGCAATCAAAATATGGGATTGCTTGATGAGATAATATATCAAAAAGCTCCTCAGATGCAGAAAAAGGCGCCTTCACAGCAAAAAGATAAAAGAACTAGGAAAATACCTTTCCTCCGCCACTTGGACCAACCAGGGCTACTTTTGAACCGGGTTTCAGTTTTAAGGTTATTCCCTGCATTTGTTACAGAACATACTCAACTGTAATCCAGACATGAAAACATGAATGTTTCATCATCTCTCCAGGAAAAGTGTACATAAATTTTTGTCATTTTGATCTTGATATATACTATCAATGAAAAGACTACTCAAAAAAAGCTTTCGATCTAATCTTCATGAAGAACTCAAACAAAGCATCATCTCAGGATGAATATAAATTGTAAATATAAGAAACAGACATTCAATATCTCACTGCTTCATCTAAATGTGAGAAATTTTAGTTCATCAAGGAATGTCATACCTTGAGCACCATATGACTCGGACGAGAAGGGTAAGCAAACCAGACATCCTCCAATGCCACATCTCCATCTGGATTGCTGATCACAAGACCAAATATCAAATTAGCACCAAAGCCAGAGATCCTATGCACCTACAACGGGATTCTTTCTTCTAGTTTAGGGTGGTTTCTGAAAGCGGAAAAGGGCATGTTTATGGGGAAAATTCAACAATCTTTACGAGGGAAACCCCTAGAAACACTTAAAATTACTTTTCCAACAAACAGGGAAAGGAAAGAATTGTAAAAGTTTGAAATGGGTCACGGTCCCCCACCGTGGTTCCTCATCTTCACGTTCCATTCATCAAAATACTGCTTTAGGGTCTTGATATGGAAAATCACATGTTAATGGAAACACTTTAAATCTAGATTGTTATTTAAGCAAGTTTTCATGTATGTCCAACAGACAAGAAGCTAACCCCATGGGACATTTATCTCCTGCTTTAGGCATGGTAGAGACACGATCTAAAATTTGAAAAACTCTCCTACTTGCACCTGCTGCTTTCATAGCTGTTGTATATAATCCTGATAATGATGATATTGAGGACCCAACTGCACAAGGAGTTTTCAGTCAATAAAGGCAATGATAATGTGAAAACTTGAAGCTTTACCATGCAACATTAACTGTTGAAACCATTTGAAAAATGCAATATTCTGCTGCAAGGCTATGGAGAACTTTTGGAGCAGGTTAGATCATTTAAGATAATAAATCATCCAACAAGGTGTCCTCCTTCCATAAAAGCCTTTACTAAATTATCCATGCTTGGAGTTTTATCCAGCCTCTACTAGGGTCATGTAGATACGAAATGGCATCAGCTCCAAGTACAACCTGCATAAATATTCCAGGCTTGGAGTTTTATAATTTTCACCTTTACTACCTTATCCAGTATCTTTCCCATTGACAGTCTTTCCTAGTTAACCTTATCATTTGGATAATGATATTATTAAGGTGTAGATCTAGCTTGATCTTTGCCAAAAATAAATAAATAAATAAAGGAAACCTTTCAGTATGGAATTCTAGTTTGGTCCTCAATAGTTGAAACAAGATCTGACTGTTAAGTAGGGACTTTTTTTTTGGGTGCATTCATGAACTAATAGAAGTTATCATCCTCCAGTTGCCAGATGTCTATGTAAAACACTTAACGTAAAGATAACTTCTGAGTAAATCTTTTAAATATTTCTATCACAAAGAGAAAATAAACGATTTCATAACCTTGGATAATTTCTTTTGGCTATTAAAGTGGAATGGTATCAAATAAAGAACAAGAGATTTACCTGTGAGGCTATAGAGAATGAAGGATGTTAGAGATCCAGTGGTCATGGAGCCAGTTATTGTCAAGTAAGCTCCATATATCACCACTACTATGACAGATAATGTTGATGCAGCATTGAGTCCTCCAAAGAATAGTCCAACCACTTTCTGTGATGGATAATTAGTTTGAGAATCAGACATCAAAGGTACTCCATTTGTGCATCTAAAACTAACAACAGAGGAGAAGTATCTGGGCTATGGAATCTTTTGTGAGTACAGAGTGGAGAAAAGAGACTGACTGCTTGTCGGAGTCCAAGTTTCAATGTCTCATCAACCTTCTCAGAGTAACCTGCTATTGCATACTGTTCTTGGGCAAAAGATCTCACTGTACGAATGGCCCCAAATGATTCCTAAAGGTTAACTAACTAGTCAAACTAATTTGTTGTCTGTTGGTAAGTTTTACACAATATCTCAGTCAAACACAATAAACACAAACCTCGGCAATTGAGGCAGCGACAGCTGCTGCTGCTTGAGTAGCATGTGAAAGTTCCCGAAGATAGCGGCCAAATTTACGAACACCAACTGAAATAACAGGCACGACAGCCAAAGCCAGCACTATAGAACATCACAGAAAATCTTAGTAAGCAACTGCATACAGATTGGATACTGCAGCACAGATGAAAGACCATTAATCACTAACATGTTAACTTCCAAGAAGATGTGAACATGAATCCAATTCCAATGATTGCAGTAGTCACATTTCGTAGTGCCTCTGAAAGATTGGTAGTTGCAGCACTTTTTATGATTTGGGTGTCTTCAGATAGCCTGCTGAGAAGCTCGCCTGTCCGCGAAACATCGAAAAAAGCTATTTCCTGTGGAATTTTTTGTATCAGCACTTTACCAATGTCCAAGTTGGACACAAGGAACATCAATTTTGAGGTATAAGTGTCAGAATCTTCCAAATCTATACCACCACAGTAATTTGCCATCTTACTGTCTCAACCACCACAGTATAATGTTCTTTACTAAAAGATTCATGGTTCTCAAATTTTGGCAACCAATTTATCAGGAAGGTTGTGGATTGGTACTATAAGATGCATGTATTTCACAAAGGTAATGAACAATGGGAAGCCTTACTTGTTGGATAAGGTGACTAAATAAATTCTTCCTTAGACGAGCAACCACCCTTTCACTGGCTGATGCAAATAACCAAGACCGAATTGCTGTTGATACCGAACTGAACAGAATAGAGGATGAGATACCCGAGAAGTGCTCGGAATAAAAGATAGCAGTGAAAAAGAGGTTGATGATGAATGAGTGCAGGTGAACCTCAGCTTATCTATTTTTATGAAAAATGAAAGCTAGCGCATGGAAAAAACACAACAGCCCCCCACCCCCTCCCCTCACCCACCTCCCTGATATTAAAGATAAATTTTGATCAGACCCCCTTGATATCTAGAGAAAAAAAACAGATCTACTGCATCCTACTGAATTCACAAATTATTTGAGTTAAGCATATAGATTATCAGTTCAAACTGCTGAAATTATACCAGAATGCTATCAGGTATACATGTACTCATGTTAAGCCTTGAAATTAAGTTCGTTATTAAAAGCCCACTTCTCCAATCTTCACACTTGACTAGGGAATTGTATTTACATTAGAAATACTTGTGAATATCAATTTGGTTGTGAGGACAACAGAAATACCCATACCCGATGACAACTATTGAGATGATAGCTATAATTGTGTTCTTGATGGCATCTAGCGCTTCAGCTTGCTGTTCAGGAGTCCTCGTATCCCTTGCTACAATATCTATAATCATGCCACCATACTTTGGCTGCAACACAATACAAATATGGTTAAAGAGCAATCCTACAAAGTTTGAAAATTGGCAAGGTTTTTTGTCAAGAGAGCAGGAAACTGTTATGTATGGAGAAACTTCAATCTGGCTTAATTTTGGAAGATAGCTAATCAGAAGAAGTTTATGATCTGTACTAATAAAAGGAAAAGAAATCCAGCCAGGAGGAAACTATACAGTATGGGTTGGTAGAACAGGAAAAAGGAAACTTGAACTTTGCTGAACAGGGCATGGAATGGATGATATCTCAATCCTTTAGCAACCATTCTTAGAACACTGATTAGCAGGGTTATCATCAAAACTGGGAATGGAATAATCAAGATGAGCATATATTAAGTGCAGAGTTTTGCTGAAGGATAATGAATCAGTACGCAAAATACCGTACTATGAGAATGCTTGATGTGGATGCTATCAGCAATGCTATAGTAGCAACAATTAATTTTCCAGCATCTGGCTTTGCCTACACATTTCAAAGAGACCATGAAGTGTTAGTAAAAGCACCAATGAGACTCCATTCTAGTCATCACAGCTAATGCAAGACTCACCAGAGAAAAGACTCTACCGAATCCAACATTTGCAGCCTGAATTTTGCCACAGAATTTGAACATTATTAGAACAAACCTACTACATAGTGCACAAAGAGATGCAGAATCAAGGAACAGAAATGTAACTACCTCTAATGCACCATGCTCCAGGTCTGTCTTGGGAGCATCAGGGGAACCATCCTCATTTTCCTTCAGTCTAGCCTACAGGTAGAAAGGTAAGTTAAGCCTGTCAAATTTAAGATGAACAAATAAACCGCAGTTATGTATCTGAAGCACTTGATAATCTACCATGCAACATGATTTCTCATATAGCATTCAACAGATACAACATTAATAATACCCTTCACCAAAAAAAAAAAAGGAAGAAGAAGAAGAAGGCAAATTTGATAGGTATATATTACAAGGAGGACAACGACCCATTCTTCTAATTCAGGAGGGACGAGGTGCATTTTGTAAAGTAAGCAAACTGTGAAATGATAATCATTTCCAGTCAAGTGTCCAGATCAAAGTCACTATAGCTTCCATTTGTGTCCAGGCCAATGCTGATGCAATACAAAATGAAAAGATTAGCCATTTCCTAGCGTGAAGGATCTACTCTCTGATCAGCACAAATCAGTCGATGAACAAGGCTAGTCATTGTTAAGCTCTGGTATCGTGAAATCAGAATGCAAAGTTTCCAGTAGGGATATTTCAGGCGAAATACCTGTTCCCAGGATTTCTAGAAGAATAAACACAACAAAACACCAGTATAAAAGCTAGTAAAAGTTTAAAGCCAAAATTCTCAAGTCATGAAGTTCTTCATATAAGTACTATCTCCCTAAAGACCGCTGTGTATTAGGTTTGACAAATCCAATCAGACTTAGCCCTTGAAGCAGGTTAGACCGTACTGGCCTCCACCATGTTTCACGCACCATGTGTAGCTGCCGGTGCAGAAAAAAAGCACCAACCAAAATTGGCTGCTGCAACATGCCTTGCCAAATGCCCCAAAAGTAAGATAATGCAAGCCATCGAGTAAGTCGACAAAATCACGGTACTGCTACAACAAGAAGCAACACGAAATTTCACATAGCAAAAGGGTACAATGCGTGATCAATGAATCAAAACAAAATACACCAGATGATTAGAGGATCCCCGGAACAAGTAAAACAGACAAGGAAAGACAGAAATTTTGATGAAAAAGCTTGCCTGTTTATTCAAAAGAGAGACTCTTTCGCTACCAGTGGACATGATAGACTTCGACGTCCAATCCAAATGCTGTTTCTTCCCCATGAAAAGTAATAACTGAAGAAGCTAGTTAAATAATCAAATACAATTAAAGGAAATTCAAAGCCAAAGAATGAATGTTCCTTTGGCTTCCTTCCCCAGAAGATAACTAGGAGCTGACCTAAATTAAAATTCTTCCAAGAAAACCAATAGAAAAAGAAAATGAAAACTTCGCGGACTATGGAAGCTACGCTGACGCAAGGATTATTACTGGGTCAAAATCCCATCAAGGTATCCTATTGATTCTAGAATTTAGTGAATAATAATCCCACCACCAAACCAAGAATCCTCCTCCTCGACCTGAAGGGCAGTTATAATGCCAACACACATTTTATAGAATGTAATCAAATGCTACCACCAGAACGCTAATACTCATAGAGAGGTTGATCTCTCACTCACTCTCAGGAGTTGAGACGTTGAGATTTTCACGTGCTTTCGGGACCAAACACTAATCAATCAAGGAAGAAACGATTTTTGCCTCATTCGCCCCCTTTTTGACTTAACTTTCATTACTTGAGGCGGGCTTAGTACCAAACTTTCATGCAAAGTGTTACGGGTCGATGCGAGGTTGGTTTCTTTCTTTTGAAAGCAATAATAAGACCTTTTTTCTATTCTTTTGAAAGCAATAATAAGACCTTCGTCAAGTAACGCCTTGCTGTCTAGTCCCAGATAATATGGTCTAGTTCTCACCTCTCCCCTGTCCCCCCACAAGTCTCTATTCCTTAGTAATAAAAAGTTGGGTGTTTTCGCTCCGGTCATCACTGTGGTTTAAGTTATAAAAAAAGTCTGAGTGTTTTCACTCCGATCGTCACTGTAGTAATTACTGATCATTCTCGTCAAAATTCTTATAGTAATTACTAACACAGTTTTCGCGTGTATTTAATTATTTTATTTTTTTTATTTTCCTGCCACGATCAAAACATACTCTCGAAAACATGAGTTACTTACAAAAGCAATTGCTCGTCAATAATATCTACCAATGCAGTCCTCACGTCCTAAAAGGAAAAGAAGCGGTCCATGCCAAATCCTATCAAGATAATGCAGCTCTACTAGAAAAGATGTGACCTTTTTTAATCATTCACCCCATGATTAATGATTGGGGGCTTTATTACTCTAATTGAAGCCTTGACTATAGCAGTAATAAATGTTAGTACATTATCCCCTATATGAGTCGTAGCTTATCAAACAAAACATAATACGGTAGTACTAACAACAGAATCCACGGGTTCCGTTATCATGCAGGGAAGGTTTCAACTATGAGGAAAAGATACAGGAAACGAAGACGAGGACAGAGCAAAGAAGACAAGAAGTGAAGAAATCAACTTTAGGCGTGGGTGGGTGCGTGGGGGTCGAGTCGTCCTGTCGTGGCCCCATGTGACAACAACTCGCGAAAAGTGCCTTTCACGTACGTCTCTTGTACCTCATCGTCCTTCTGAAGCTCTCAATATAATATTCACTGTTCTTTAATGCAAACGTCTTTTTCGGGGCGTGATTGAATCTAGGAACCTAATTCCACGTCCGCAAGACGGCAAAAGTGAAAGTGACAATTACCAGATCGTAATTCTGCTTTTAACCCGCATTTTCTTGTTTTTCCCCTGTAATTTATTTGTTGTCAATAGACTCGAATCTTTTATGCTCTCGAAAGAAAATTTTACCACTGACGAAATCTTTTTCGTCATTATCATGTACTACTAATTAATTGTACGGACTTCGTTTTCTTTTTATTTATTTATTTATTTATTTTGGGTTCTGAGGAGGGACCAAAGGCTCTGTTAAGTACTAGCCTAGGGCACTAATAATTTATGTCTTCTATCGTAAAAGTCTTTGTTGGTCCAACAGGCCCGGAGTACCAGGTTCAAGCAACAAAAAAATAAAATAAAATATTCTTGTATGGACGGTGATCACGGAAATCTTTCACACCCAGTTAGAACTAAAAAAAAAGGTGACATGCGCGGTTCACGGTCAAGATTTGATCTAAAAAAATTGTACGATCCAGATCATTTATTGTACTTCATTTTTAACAATGTATATGGGATCCATAAAAATTTGTTCTAAAATTACACGTTATGTAAACAAAGTTATGCCGTGTGTAAATAAAGTTACGTAACGTATAAAATACACAAAATCGCCGGAAATGCAACCGTTCCTGCCTGTGGTCCAAAACATTGGTGGGATGGATGAGTTGTCTTTCTGTGTATTCCAGTTTCCTTTGGATAACTTGGAGTAATAGTACTTTTTTTAAAAACTTTTTTGCTTTCCTCTCACTCCCAAGTCAGAGGCTAAAGCAATTTCTTCTTTCTTTCTTTCTTTTCTTTAATTTTGATAGACTAATTAACAGCTCCTTTTCTAATAAGATTGTGAATTTTTAACGTGGTTGTTTATTCTGTCAACAGTTTGTTTCACTCTTAAAAATGTGACTAAATTCTTGGTCGGCATCCACTTTTCTAGTCGTACCTGGACTACGAATTTCATTTCCCTGCCAAATGTTTCTAGGTGGGCCGCGTGGCGCTCTTCCCTGATGTCCACTGCCGCTCCCAAGGCCCACGTTGATCACCCTCCTGATCAGACCCATAAACCTTTGCCGACAAGGCGGAGTACATTCCAACGGAGTAGCCCAAAATGAGCTCGGCTTTTGACCTTAATAGCCTGGTTTTAGAACGGCATTGAATGGTCATACTCACATCACAGCGGTCTGCAATAAGAACTTGGGCCTCGGAGCCTCCAAAGCCCATTAAAGTCTTGGTTTTTCCTCTCCACGGAAGATCGAATGTCTTAATTTACATTGGAATCAATCTACCTGAACAATAAAAAATTTCATGCAGGCTTTTCGGCCTCCAGCCCAAAGAAAAAAGCTCATTTTCTTTTTCATTTTACTTTGGTTTTAGTTAAAAATCATCCTGTGGGAGTAGATAAATGAAACCCACGCGTAAAATGCATTCTACTACAGTAACTAAACAAAAACGCAAATTCACATATGATATGATAGCCCTATATATAAATCTAGACTGGAATCGAAGTTGTTGCGGTTTTCATAGATCAGTCTTTATTATAGGCTATAGCTGTGCTGTGATGGCAAAGTGGAAAATATTGGACTATGACTTTAAAGTTTATCTCCTCAAACTCAAAGAGTTTATCTCCTCGAACTGAGTCAAGTCGAGTTTTCGATTAATCGAGTCGAGTCTCGATTTAATTTTATTAAGTTCAAACTTGAGTTTGAATTCGACGAGTTACCAATTGAGTCGAGTTTGAACTTTGAACTCGAGCTCAAAAAAATAAAAAAAGTTTGCCATTTTTTTTTTCAATTAAGTACTGATTAGGGCTGCAAACGAACTGAATCAAGTCGAGTTTTTGATTAATCGAGTCGAGTATCGACTTAATTTTATTAAATTCAAACTCGAGTTTGAGTTCGACGAGTTACCAATTGAGTCGTGTTTCGAACTCGAGCTAAAAAAAAAAATTATTTTTTTAAAAAATAAATAAAATAATATTTTTTCTTAATAAATAATAAAATATTATGAATATATATGTAATTTTATTAATAAATATAAAAAATAAAAAAAATATATATATATATACTCAAGTTTTGAAGTTGACTCTTGAGTTAACGAGTTTAATATTTTGAATTCGAGCTCGAGTCGAGCCGCTCACTAGGATCTCTGTCCGTTTGCTACGTTAGTACTAACGATTAAGAAAAACGGAATATGTGGTTTCAGCTTAATATATGAAGCTTCATCATATGATGGTATAGAGAGAGACAGAGAGAGCTCCAAAAAAACAAGATATAAATAAATAGTAATTTGCAAAGAATAAAGGGGAATGTATTAGAAAGTTTTTTTAGTACGTAATAGCGACACGCAACCAAACAAGCTCAGAAATTTCTCCCCACCCACCCGATGCAATAACAAATCAAACGACGGAAGAAGAAAAATACTTACTGTCTACTACTAATATACTCCATCTATTCAGAAAAGCATTTGCAGGGCCAGTTTAAGTTTCGCGTTTACTTTTACTTTTGGAAGCTTCTTATAATTTATTATTAAATTAATACTAGCTAGCTTATTATTAGTAAGCCTTTCTTTCCTCCTCAATTAATTTACTTGTAACTTTCTCAGAAAAAAAAATAAAGGAAATAAATTATTGTCTCCAGAAGGCATTTCATTTCTTCGCTAGGAGAATCAATCACTAGCAGCAATCGATCAAAGTCCCAGTGTGCCAAGACCAACTCAAATGCAGCTACCCCACAACCTTAAATTTTGTATGGTCCAGCAGCAAGAATCAAGCAGCCGCCTTCGTTTCGTTTATAAGCATAGTCTGTGCACAATTCCTCTGAATTTCTGAGAATATTACGAGACATTTCAAAACCAAGAATGGGTGGATGGTGTAACACATCAAAATTATTTTTTCTTCTTCAAAAAAAAAAAAGGGAAAGGAAAACTTCCAATTCTTGGATAACGAAGACTTGCATGCACGAGTTGACTGATTTCTTTCGCGGCAGCTTCATTTAGGCTCCCGCAACATTCTAATGATTTTATAGTACTCCAAGCAACTTGAACAAGGAAAAAATCCATTCTTTGCCAGTACCATTTCTGCAATCAATACCTGAAATATGCTTGTATCCAAACTATCATTTCTTTTCCTCTTCCTTCTGCACTTCTATTTCACAACCATCTCTGCCAGTCATATCCCAGTTCTTGATAACTTAGCCATTTCCAGCGGTTCTTCTGGCATCTTAACTGCATCCAATGGCCGCGTTTGGGTTGGAGATACCGGTTCCAAATCTTCCACGTTGCTGCAATTGAGTGGCAAATCAACCAAGTCAAGAGTCAACCACCATCCAGCTGCCTCCGTGGATGCTGTCCCCTACCTGACCGCACGCATATCTCATCACCACTTCACCTACACATTCCCCGTCAAGCCTGGCCAGAAAATCATCCGTCTGCACTTCAACCCTGTTTCATACAAGAATTTCAAGAAGTCTAGAGCTTTTTTTTCCGTCAAAGCCGGTCCTTACACCCTTCTCAGCAACTTCAATGGTTCCCTTGCTGCTGGTGCTTCAGGGGCTGGGCATTTTACTAGAGAATTCTGTGTCAATATAGAGGAAGATGAACTATTGAGCATAACGTTCTCCCCAGATCAAGGAAACGAAGGTTCTTCAGATGACCGATATGCATTTGTCAACGGTATTGAGATTGTCTGCATGCCTGCTGGTCTTTATTTCACCCCGGATGATGGCCTGGGACCCTTTGTCGTTGGCCAGAAATACAGATTCTTCATCGACAACAGCACCGCACTTGAGATGATTCAGCGGTTAAACATTGGCGGAAACTCCATTGCATCTGTTGAAGATGGAGGCATGTTCCGGTCATGGGATGAAGACCTCAATCACTTGCCACAAAACGGAAGCCTTGTAATTAAAAGGGTCATTCCAATCAAGTATACGCGGGCACCATCGTATATAGCACCAAAGAAAGTCTATCAAACTGCCAGGTCAATGGTTCCACATACGAATTTGAGAAGGCGCAATCTTATGTGGAAAATACCAGTGGATTTGGGATTTAGATACTTGATTAGGCTCCAT